TAGAATGGTCATGTTTGTATATAAATAAGACAAGCATTTGGAAGGAGAGTTCAAGTCAAGAGATCGATCGATCTTGTCCATATATATTAGTATATAAGCAAATATAAGCACATAAATTAGTATAGTATTATTAAGTATAAATAAATTAAGTTAATAAATAAATTAGTTAATAAATAAATTAGTGTCTTACTATAAATAAACTGTTTAAATAAATAAACTATATTCTAGTTTCAGATAAAATTGGACATAGGAGTGATCCACAAAATGTTTCTAAAGTATATCTTTTGTATCAGTTTGGATATAAATCACGGACATGTCTCGTATCTCTGTCTTTGTTGGTCATGGCCTATTTCAGAAGCATTTTTTGTGTATCACTCTTTATAATTTGACCTACAAGAAATAAGAAAAAATATATTGGAACAACTTTATAAATTTAGATAGGATAAAGTAAACGGCCACTTCTATACAATATAATTTGATTTATGCATAAGCAGTAAAAAAACCTATTTCCATACCAGTTAGATTAGGTTAGATCAGTTTCCGTGGGTTTCTCCAGATCTTTAACCTTGATCTTTTAATCGAAAGCGTTTTTTGCCTGTTGATCTTAGTCGCAACAAAAACTTTTTTGTGAACTTATCGATATTTGTTTATAAAATGATGTCCTTTATTAATTAGGCATTTCGTTACCTTAACATGAAAACCTTCTGACTCCACTTTTTACAGAAAAAAATATTATTGTGCCATCTATTAATAAAATCCTAAATACGTATCAGTGGCGGCTGTGGTAATTTAAAATGGGTGTACACTTTTTCCAATACTTTTATCATTTGTAAGTTCAGTTCAAAACCTTGAACAAGTATAGTTATTATTATTAATATCATACTGTTTTCAAGCACTACAACTATTATTATGAATAAATAAATAAATAAATAAATAAATGAATATTTCAGTTATTGTAATATTTGTTTTATTTTTAATACAACCGTCTATAAACATTATTAGTTAGTCAACTGACTTTTCTTCATATTTTGAGATTATTTTTAAATGTAGATTTAAATGTTGATTTTTGTGTAAAAAATATTATATGAAACTACCTACCGTTTTTCAGTTTTTATTAAAAATATAATCATTTTTATAATTTGTCACACATGTTAAATAAAATAATATATTTTTTAAATACCCTTTATTGGCAAAAAACAAGTGAACTAAAATGTGTATTTTATAAGATCAGTCCCATCACAATACATAATATTACACAGATACAAACTAGAATAAAGATATATAATGCGTGGCATTCTAAATTATAATTTTCACAGTTTAACAGACCCCTGAACCCCCATTTTCAATCAGATTATTTTCAGAATCAATAGGCTTCATCCTCTTGTAGAGCTTGATTTTTCAAATGTTGATATTATTGTTTGTTTTTAAGTTAGATTTATTTTAAATATTTCAACCCCCCCTTAACACCCCCCACTTTTATTCAATTTTTTTTTCACAATGAATAGGCCTCATCTCCTTATAGAGCTTGATTTCTACTAAAAATTTCATGTTGATATCGCTTTTCATTTTTGATTTATGATTCTTTTTTATTTTTAATCCTCCTTAAACCTCCATTTTTAATCAGATTTGTTTTTTCATAATTAAAGGGCTTCTTCTCCTTATAGAGCTTGATGTTTACTAAAAAAAAGTTAATATCATTTTTCGTTTTTGAGTTAGGATCTTTTTTATATTTTAACCCTCCCTAACTCCCCTATTTGCTTATATTTTTTTCAAAATCAATAGGCTTTATCCCTTCTTATTTCATTTTTACTAAACATTTCATGTTGATATCGCTCTTCGTTTTTAATTTAGGATTTTTTTTATTTCAATCCATCCTAACCTCCTATTTTTAATCAGATTTTTTCATAAACAATAGGCTTTGTCCCCTTATAGAGCTTGGTTTTTGCCTTAAATTTTCAAGTTGATATAATTTTTCGTTTTTGACTTATCGTGCAGACAAAAACCGTGACATCGGACAAAGTAAACCTATAACAGACTATTGTGTGAAGAGTAGAATAATAATATAATCAAGACTAAAACAATAACAAAATAGCCTACAAAATGGGTATACTAAAAGAATGATAAAATATAAGAATTGAAAATTATTTAATAGGTATATCAGTACTTCGGAGATAAACGGTGCTGTCATTCTAATCAGCCTTTTAGTAGAGTAGACTGAATGTTGGTTGAACACTTTTCGTGTTCTATATTTACATATAATTAAATTTCGACAAGAAATTCAGTTGGCCCCCAATTATTGTCACAATATGTATTGTTTACTAATAATCTATTAAAACTTTTTTTAATATACCTGAATTGTTGGTTTTTGTAATATATTTCTATGTTCTGATAACAAATTTTCTATGACATACCTAGTGTCTTATACTTCCAACATGCCTCTATAAATAGTATGACTAACGTTAGAGTTAAATAGTGTTGTTTAACGTTTAACTTGTAAGTTTATTAAACATTGAACACAGTGTTCTTTTTTTTAAAGTCAACTTATATTGTTACTTCACTATACATGGTATAGAATACCACTGAAAAGGTCTCAATGAGCCGAATTTAAAAATATAACCTTTATGAAACTGCACGGTCTACATAGTGTACTTCCCAGATAGATATCGGTAAATATTTAATTTAGTCTTTATGATATAGGTACATACCTAACATAGACACAACTATTAAGTTTCTTGAATTAATTTAGGGCAGTGCAATTTTTATATTTTATTTCCTCTTTAAAAAAACTGTAATAAATCCTCAGTGCTATATCAGTCTGACACTGTTTATCAGTACCTCTAGCATTTATAGACAAGGCATTTTTCTATAACTTCAAGGAACAACCTACAAAATAAACAATTATTCATATAAAATTGTACCACGGTCAAGAAATTTGGAAATAAACATAACCTCAACAAATAATAGTAATTTTTTACCTGTGACGTTTTTCGGTAACAATCGTTAAATTGACACACATACTTCCGATTTATTAAAGTCGTAACTTAATTTTTAATACAATTCACAATTAAGATTGTCTCATGTTGATTTTTAGAATTTGACAGCTTGATTGGAAAGTTAGAATATGAAGTAGGTAGATATAGAATAAGGACAATTTTGTGATATGACAGGCACTTTGCGTCATATTTTGATTAATTTTAAGTTAATAATTTTATATTTGTAGATTGACGAAATGAAAATATTTTTATATCATTTATATCACGCTATTTTAAAAAAATGGCATTTATTATCACCAAAACTAACTAGCTCGAGTTTGACATATGTCGTAAAAGAGTAATGCAAAAGTGCAGACAGGTTCAGTACCGTTATTACTTCTCTATATCTATGATTTGAAAGACTGGTATGGCCCGCCCTACTTTGTGACGACACGGTGTGCGTTGCGCAAAGTTATTTTATAACTGTTTCACTACATTTCAGGGATCTGTTATCGTGTGACATCTCTTTTTAGTTAAAGATTATTAAGAACGCTTCTCACTCCTGGCTCACTTATAAAAGCACGCCACGAAAACGCGATTAGCTAGAGCACAGTGGTGTACCCAAAAATAGATATTAACACGTATGAAAACAATAAAATTATTAAAATTGAATTAATATTTTTATATTTATTTTAAAATAATGTGTTTTAACGAAATGTATTTGAGTGTTCACTGCACAAATGAACCAATGGAGAAACCGCCTTAAAATTACAAACATCTACTTTGTTGACATATTTGTTAAATTTGATGATATGCAAAACTTGTAACTCCACAGTTGCCCCAAACAAACATAAAACCGTGTATCTCCACAATCAGCTTTCTTAAAAAATAATGGTTTTCTTCTACAGTAAATTACCTATTACAAAACAAAATCTATATATAAATAGGCAAAGTACCATTTATTCTTCTATTTGTGAAGCGATTTTAATTTTTTAGTTTTGTTTAGTAACTATTAACGAGCTTTAAAAAAAATTAAATAGTATTTTTTCCCAACCTTTCATAAATGAAATCCAATGATCCACAATTGATTGTCCTATAAAATTAGCTTATAGCGAACATGAGCACCCTTTAATTTCGAACCGACATGGACAATATTACACGGGGGGTAGCACAAAATTAATCGAAAAACATTTGATCGAATTGGAAATTTGACCGAAAATACATTTTGTCGAATGATATTTGATCTAAAATATATTTTATCAAAGATATACTTTATCGAATAAAATTTGATTGAAAAGACATTAGATCTAAAATTCATAAGATCCAAAGATCGAAAATCAACATTAAAAATAGTAAAATTTTAAAAAATCTGACAACACCATGCTACCGTCCGTTTAATCCCTATTACAGGGGAAAATAAACACAGCGGCTATCGTCAAATTAGGTACTAACAGCAAATTTTTCTATAATCTCAAACAATAGCTCCTTATTTTAACATATTTTATCTGTAAAATAATGTTTTATTATCAGATTCTGGTATTTTTTTATTAGATTCTGATCACCGTAGATTTGGCGCTTGGAAAGTCCATTTCTCTTATATTCTAGAACCGTATACTGTTTAAGTGTTTGGTACAAACGAATTACATTTTTTTTGTCATTATTACGATTATTATTATTATTATATACTCTATGAAACAAAATGAGCACTAGATAAAATAACCTTAATAAGTCGGTTTGCATTTTTATTCTGCTTGCAAATTGAAAGATCTTTGTAACTTCTATGTTAACAGAGTCTTAGAGCTTGTTTCATCAAGTTACTAACCTCGTTATTAACTCTCTCTAAATCGATTGAATTGGAGTTAGATTCATTAAAGATTAACATATTATTAACCCTTTTCTCATGGTAATGAAATTCACTAATGATTATTTGTTCAGTGATGTGATGACAAAGTTATCAATCTTTCATATTTCAACTTTATAAACCTTTTTAATATTATTTAAATAGAGAATACATTTTGGTGTACTTACCAAGTGATGAAATGAGATTTCCCCAGAGTTCTGCCGTTTGCCAAGCCAAGAAGAAGAATCCAAAGAATCGGACAATAATACCATCTACAGCTTGATCTGTGAGTTTGGCGTAAACTCCAGCGACTTGTGTGAGATACGTGGCCTTTGAAGCCCACATAGGTGCCGCACCGATACCCACGAGAATACCGGCAGGAATGAGGGTGTAGAACCTGGGATAAAACTGAGCGGCGATGTACGGTGCGTAACATAACAACGAAAAACATAGGGTCCACTTAACGGTAAGTTTTTTAATGGCATATGTTGGCACGAAAATGCAACTTACTACTAACGCCGCGTAGATTGCACTGAGTGAAACAGTACCGAGACCGTCCTTAGCATTTATACTACTTTGGAGGTTTGCCGTTCCTTGAAAAGCTGTGAATTGGATCATGAAGGCGCATGAGATGGCGGAAACGTTTTTGAGTATCCTCCATTTTTCTTTGGTGGACATTTTGAATTTGCCTTGTTGGAAGGCCTCCTCATCGGAGATCTCCCGAGGTGGTTTCTTTGGTTCTGCATTGTTGGTATCGCCTTTGAAGGCTTTGTTGTCGTACGCTCCAGTTACCGAAACTGTATAGACATCGTTGTGGTTGTTGGTTCCATCGTGGTTATGGTTGTTGGCGTCACCACCACTGTCGCCACCTACTCCGAGGGACGCGGTCATCTCTGATGAGCCGCAATCACCCTCCTCGATCTGAAACAATTCATTAAGTAAATAATTTGTTTAAAAATGTATCTACACATAAAATTTGTTAATAATAACAATATTATAGCTATGCTTTCTTAAAATAAAGGCATATGAAGATGGAAGGTCCAATACAAATACAATTTTTTTGTGTTTTTAGAATTAAAACGAAAAAAAAAATATTAATAACAAAAGTTAGATCTTGTATTAATGGGTGATAAAGGAAGCTGTTAAACCATATTTACTTTTTTAACAAAAGAGTAGAAGGAAATATATTTGCAAATATACAATTAAGTTTTAATTTTTCTACGAAGAGCAAATGAAGAAACAATAGCAAAAAAGAACAAATAATATGGTAGATTATGATTTCTTTAAAGTTGCCCAATATACATTAATAAAATGCCAATCTATTTTCATATTATTTATTTCTTTCATTTCCTTTTAACAAATTTATTCAACTAGTTTAGAGAGATGTTCTGGAATTTTTGTTACTTATAATACTTAATGCATTCAAAATATTTTTTGTAAATAAGTCAGTTTGTCTACATATTTTTATACCTATTTATCGAAAAAATTCAGAAATTATCAATAATACATTCTCTAAAATAATGAAACAATACATTTATAAAATAAACCTGTTTTCGTACCACTTGAAATATGAAGTCCGTCGGTCTATACATATTTAAAAGTAAATTCACAATATTTTTTTAATTTTAAGTACACATTAATTTAATAATGAAACTGACAACTTAATTTTGACAAATAAAGTCATTCAATGTTATGTGACATTTTGAGAACGTTTTTAAATAATTTTCGGGGTAGCTCTTCGATGTAAAACTGATGTACTAATCACATAGAGCTTTTCTATGGATTAGTTATGACACAATAGAGAGTTATTCACATACTTTGGTGAAGTTATTGCAAGATCACTTAAGCTCTTATTTTGACATCTGAGCATGCGCAGATCACTAACTTTAATAAAGATTGTGCCTGTCCTTAATAGAGAGATATTGCAAATTTCTATAAAGCCAGCCACTAAACTTGAAATTATAGTTCATCTTTTTTGTTGTCTATAATATTAAAGAAGCATTAGAAATTATAATTTTAGAAGGTTTAAATGACGATTATATTAAATATTTAATATTAAAAAACTTCTAACGGATACGAATGTCGGCGAGCGCATCCGAAAACTATAAAGTCGCCACTACCTGCTGCCCTTAAACATCCACAATTAAGGACAGGCACAATCCTTAATAAAGTCAGTTTTAGAACACAAACATCTGCGCATGCTTAGATGTCAAAATAAGAGCGGCACTAATAGTGACTGACCTTAAGTGAACTTGCAATAACTTTCTTATTAAGGACAGGCACAATATTTATTAAAGTTAGTGATCTGCGCATGCTCAGATGTCAAAATAAGAGCGGCACTAATAGTGACTGACCTTAAGTGAACGTGCAATTAGGCATTCCAACGACCTGTCCAAATGGCTACCAGTGGGTAGTGACAGTTTAGATATGGCAACCTTGTTGTCATGTTGTCATTAACAGGGTCAATGATACATATATAGTTATATAGATTGCTCAAAGCTGGTCGTTTACGAGCGACCATATTGCCTGGCAAATATTTATTAATTTGAATCGGTTTAACAAAAATGTGTTTTAAAACCAATTTTTAGCCTTTAGATATTAAAAAAAAAATAATTGCTTACATTTTTACTTCAAGGCATACGCTTATGTTTATTTTGAAAAATATGGATAATCAATCTATGTAACTATCTATTTCATTGATTTTGTCAAATCACCAGGTCTACAGGGTTGCCATAATTTTGCAATATCATAACCCGTCAAAGCCCACTGGTAGGCATTCAGTTTGGAATGCCTAATAACTCTCTAATTATGGACGCATGACGTAATTTAAAAATGACATTAGAGGGTATATAGAGGGAGTCTTAGACTAGGTAAGTCTAAGGAGGGTATGAAGGCAATGTTTTTAAATAATAAATAATACTGATTTTTTTTTCAACAAAGAACAAGTTATATTTAAATCCTTCAAACTGTAAGTTAGTTTATTAAATGAAGGGTAGGAAAGAAAAGAGTTCTTTGTATCTCATAATGATGTATGAGATATAAAAAATAGAAGTGACCGGTTTAGAAGTCTAAAACTTCATCTTCTGGCACGCCATATTTTCTCTAATACACTAGGGGATAAATAGCTGAATATTAAAGTGAAAAGAACCTAACATGGTCTAGAAAACGGTTGTCTAAAAAGAGGAGAATTACATCTGGTATTATAGTCAATATCATACTAGATCAAACATAATGTCATAATCGATAAATACATGGTTAATAAAAGAAAAAGACTTGTTAAAGTGCACATTTAACAAAAATAAAATAATTTTAAAACATCGTTATTGAAAAGTAAACAGAAAAATAATATTGTTACCCATCACCCTACATTGTGCTGCGGTCGTCCTAAGCAAAGGTGAGAGTAAAAAAAGAAGGGAGAATATTTGGAAAATGTCCAGAAATTTCATTCCATGTCAAGAAACATCTGGATAGTTCGAGAAGGTTCTAGAAGGTTAAAGCGAGCTGTATAGGTCGGTGATTCTGATGTCAGAGTTTCAGTTTTATGATAGACGTTACAAGTTCATGTTATCAGTTGTATGGTTGAATTGTAAAAGTTGAGTTAAAATAAAATGAGTTACCAAAAACCAGTGTACCATTGGTGACAGCGGTGGAATACAAAGTAAGAGTTTATGGTAAATACTAGATCCACTGAGTACGAAACAGGTATGGATACTTCAGGTCTCCCAGCATGGGTTTTGAAGATGGAAGAGGAGAAACAAAGTCGAGACGATAAAAAGGAAAGGCGTAGAAAAGCAAAGATAGAAGTTATGAATGGTTTGCTAAAAATTCAAGAAAATTTCAAGCAAGAGGTAGGTGAGCTGAACAGTCGAATAGATCTCTTAGCACAACAACAAGAGAATTTATAAACTAATTTAGAACAACAAGAAACGGCTAGAGTAGAGTTAGAAAGGCATATTAGAACTGAACTAGTTGAGCTAAAAAGAAGAAATCGTAGCCTAGCTTCGATAAGCAACAGAGAAACTGAAAACACTACCTCGTCCTCATCTATAACCGAACCAAGCTATATCCAGAACCCAGTTTCACAAAGCCCTATTAGTAAGATCATTAAGCCACTCACGTTTGATGGTCATACAACATGGGAAACGTATCGACTCCAATTTGAAGCTGCAGCTAGAGCTAATCACTGGGCTGAAAAAGAGATAGCGGCTTCATTGATAATGTCGCTACGAGGAAAGGCAGCAACCAATTCAAGTAATGTACATGCCATAAAAAAATAAGGAATATGTAATTTAATTACAACAAACCAATTGTAAATTTATCGAATGATGATTTTTCTAATCACATAATATATAAAAGATAAACTGAATCGTTAATTTTTGGCGGCAAAATAGCTTGCAGTCAATGCAACCTATAATTCCAGGAAAATCGTACGTCACAAAAAACTAGTTTTTTAACCGACTTCAAAAAAGGAGGAGGTTATCAATTCGTCGCGATATTTTATGGTACAAAATTAATTTAAATAATAACCTAGCTTATCTTTCAGTCCTTTAATATTTTCTTTAAATTAAACATAGATGAATTAATAATTAAATTCTTACACGGTAAGATATAAAAAAATATTCATTCAATATCCATTAAATTCAAAAAATGGATTCTGCCGCTGCATGTCTGAATATTTGAGGAATTCTTATCTTTCAAGTTTTCTAACTGTACAATTAATAATAATTGAAAGAAATTTTCAGGTATTAGATTTTTTAGTACTGTAAACCATATTTATAAGAAATAAGATACTTTTGTAGGTATTAATAAAAATTAGTTTACCTAGAATGTGTTAAAATTAATCAATATTAATAATCATCCTAAAAGTGACCTATAAGTGACATTGGCTACTTCCTTGAAAACATGAACGTTTTATCGAAAACGTGTAAAAATTTCCGGTAGCTATAAAACACCCGTTTTAAAAACGTACCCGCTTTTAAAACGAATGTCGAGAATAGCTAATAGTTCGCATGTTGCTAAAGCGTATACGTTTTTTAGAAAACGATAGCCGCAGATAGGGCCCCTACCGCATTTAGCTGTCAGCGGGAAGCAAACCCAAGATAGTTCACATTGGAAAGTCAGATCCATACCGTGGTCCAGATCCTCCCCATTAGCTCCAGTTATTCGGGATGAATAACTAGATAGGAGGGAGCAATATTACCACTGATCATCAGTGAATATTACTCATCACCCTACAGTGTGCTGCGGTCGTCATAAGTAAAGGTGCGAGTAAAATAAGAAGGGATAATATTCGATAAATGTCCAGAAATGTCATTCCATGTTAAAAAACGACGTTTCGAGAAGTTTCTAAAAGGTTAAAGCGAGCTGTATAAGTCGGTGATCCTGACGTCAGAGTTTCAGTTTTATGACAGACGTTACACGTTCATGTTATCAGTTGTATGGTTGAATTATAAAAGTTAAGTTGAAATAAATTGAGTTACCGAAAACCAGTGTAACAATATTTTTGATTTCTAGTTCTTTTCTTTTGACACGAAATATTTTGAAGAATTATTGCAGCGTAAAGTTGGTAACACATTAGACAATCGCCGTCCTGTCACATCGCGGACTGTGCTAGTCTCGACCGCTCGCAGTGTAATTCTTTCCTATATATTTTATTGACATTATCCCATTTATCCCAAATACGGACCTGATGATTTTATTAATTATAACTAGAACCTTTATTAATTGGTAATAAAAATTATTTATTTATTTTGTTACACCCCTATTATTGAAACAATTGGTTTAACTCAAAATTGTATACGAACACACCAATGATATTTAATGTAACTTACTTTTTTTGCTCTTTTCAAATATGCAAGAAAAGCTCAAAATTTGATATATACAGTGTGTCTACGTAAGTTGGCGGCATATGGAAAACCTTT